CCCAGACATAGAAGATACGGGAGGTCTTCTGTGCTTGTCCCCTGTCAATGCACCTGACAGACCTCTTCCATGAGTTTGTATTTCAACTTTTCCCTCTTCCTCTCTTGTCTCTATCTTCTCTTCCAAATCACCGTCAAAGTTATGATTGTCCCATATGCCAGTCCCTTGCCCGACGCTTTCTTCTCGCAGGAATAGCAGCGCGAGTTCAGAGGTGGGTCTTCCTACCATCGTTACCTTAGTCACAGCTAATCAGAAACAGTGCATATCTTGCAGCTCTACCCAAACACGGACCTGGACATCGTCGCAAACCTTACTACCGGCCGAGGTGGACCTTTCCACATCGCGACTCTAATCAACCGTGAGCATAGAGAGAGGAAACCACAACGAGGTGAGCGTTGAAGTCTTGCGTAGCGATCCAGCAGTTGATCGGGTCACGGCCTATGGGAACCTTAAGTGTTCAAATTGCGGTAGGGTTTGGGCAGGATAACAAGAGGAGGCATGAGAAACAGGCGCAGAGATGGCGGGACGGAGGTGCGAGAAGGGCGGCAGATAGAGAGGAAGAGGCTGAGCTCAGGAGGTGAGCTGAAGAAGAAGCACGATTACGCAAGGCTGAGGAGGGGAACCGTGACCTTGATAGCCAGGAGCTTGAAGAGGAGATAGTGGTCAACTTCGAGAGCCCAATACCGGAGACATCAGGAACTTCAGAAGTTGAGAACGAGGAGCCTCAGCAAGTTACGGAGCCGCAACAGGAGGCGGAAGAGCAGGCCCCAAGGCGAAGGTCGCGGCGGAAACCAAAAAAACCGGATTCAACGCAGCAGACAGCGAACGGGGAGCCTTCAAAGGCTCTACAGAAGCCCCCGGGAGGCAGGAGCGCTGCCGTTGGTGGGTGGGTGTTGACGAGGGAAATCAGGGGAGTTGCAAGATCGGAACATTGAGAAGGGGCTCTACCCGACTCTGCGCCTTGATCGGGCGTAACATCACACGAGCACTTAGCTGACAGCCTTCGTATCCTAGCAGCAATTTCTTGCCTGTTCACGAACGGCAATCTTTCGATGGTGGCTTGCACGTCCAGAAGTCGTGTCTCACCCAAAAGCGACCTCTACATGACCCTGCTCGCCTCCTACTCCCTTCGCTTTCTACAATACTGCTGCCTTCGCGGCTACGCTTCCTTCCCCACCACTCTTCGCGCAACTTCACCTGGTCGCGGCCTTCTCCGGCTCCAGTATCTCCGCTTGCGTTTTCCCCGTCTTCGACGTCTGCAGATGCCTCAGCGTCTTCTGAAGGCGGCCGTCCATCCAGTGTATCATACAAAGCCCCTTCAGTAGGCTCCACCGCCTGCACACGTCTGCCCAGAGCGGCCCTCACGATCTGCGTCAACGCTCGCATAGCCAGCCTCTTGCCGTCGGCACCCGGAAACATCGGCGTACGGACAGCCAGTGCGGTTCCGTTGCTTGACCGACGAGCAGGCCGGTACCGTGTGAATCGTTATCATTAGCACCCAGGGTGAAGACTGTTCGCATCACATACAACTCATAGAGAACAAGAGCGGTCAGATTCACCAAGGAGGTCAGTCGGCAACGAGCGAAAGTCGCGGAACTTTTCATACGCAAAAAGGTGTGATATCTGGTATCGCTCAGGATACTCGGAGGGTGGAGGTGTCGCCCGTAGAATCGGGCGTATTCGCTTGCCGGGGGTTGAGAGTGGTGTTGGGACTATCCATCAGGCTTCCGTGTCTGTACTGCCTACGCATTCTAGTGGATCGATCACAGCTGGAAAATTTCCCAGAATATCACCACCATAGCCGGTCCGCTGCCGCGATCAAAAAAAAAAAAGACGAACGACTTCTTTCTCCTCTCGTTTTTTGGGAAGGTCTTTGATCATTCAATCATTCGCTCAAGATACAGCTAGCTCCACGATGAAAGGAATGCATGACGTAGGCCACAATCTCGGCGCAAAATCCCCAGCTACACGAAGTATGAACGAGCTTCGTACTCTGGATAATCCAAGGACAAAAACATGACAAAAAGAAATGGTCAGTACGGGGGTCGAACCCGCGACCTTGGCGTTGCAACTCGCTCAGGATCCTCATGATCCGGATGAAGTTATTAGCACCACGCTCTAACCAACTGAGCTAACCGACCGATTGATGCTTTACCACCATTTGAGCTGCTTTATATCACTAATACCAGAAGGCCGGCTTGTGCCAAGTTGCGCTTCTCTGCTAGAGAGTCTGCTCGCTTCCACCATGGAAATTGGGTATCTAGTAACTATTGATGAGTTCTGCATGTGCGGTGTATGTCTCCAAAACTCTGCCATACGGCAAAACCTGTTCTATAACGCCTTGATGTAGCTGGTTCTAATTCCGCTCAATGCATCGATACTTCGCATGCACGATATGTTGACGGTAAATTGCCAATATCGGACAGTATAGCTTGAATGAACAACGCAAATGATGGTCGCTGTCTATACTACAAAGGTTTGATAAGGTTCCTAGAGAAAGAGGTTCGCGTAGGATTGCTACAGCTTCACGATGGCAGCGTGCGAGACCGTCGGCGTGGAACGACTTCTGAGGGGACAGGCGAGTCACCACTCCTCCCTAACCTGACAGAATCGGATGCGCATCTGATAGCTATTTTGCGTTCTGCCAAATTTGCGGTGTCTGCAGCTAGAAAGGTAGAGTCACTGACGCGCGTAGTTACTGTAATCAACAGAGTTCCTGGACCTCTTCCTGCTGAGTGTCCCTTGAGAAGAGAAGAGGCTAGATTAACATACACTATCACGAGCGATCACCACAAACCAGACTACTCTTGTACACATTTCTGTAGTTTGCTATGTCCTGGGCGTAACATCCTTAGATTCCCCGACTTCAACAACACCTATGTATGAAGATCGAATTTTCTGCTTTTCCACGATGTTCCGCTCCGCAGGCCATCAATGACGCAGAGCAGATTTCACAAAGAGCAGGACAAACGCCACGAAACACATAACAACGCTCCCTAGCCTACACCGCTGCCCTTTTTCCTTTGACACGTTGTATAAGCGCCACAAGATTTGCATGGTGAGTGGGCCGAACATGACAGTTCGCGGCGGCCGTTGCTTGCCTCAGTTGTCCCAATTGCATTGGTGAAGCGACGTTGATCTTTGTTGCAGCTCAAGCTCGTAGGTAGCTTGGTAGGTAAACATGGATGACGAGGCGCCGGACAGATTGGTTCCTGGCTCGGAAGTCTTCCACGATATCACGCTCGTGCTTTCTCTCGATGGCGTTTCTCGCGACAAAAGGCCTAAGCGACAGAGGCACTTTGGCGAAGGAGGAACAGGATTGAGTAAAACATACAAACCCAGTAAGCGACGACATCTGTGCAGGACTGTCGAAAAACCTACGCATCTTAAGGAGCGGGTTCGTACGGGCGAAAGTCGCAAAGCGGAGACTCATGGCCGCTCCCGTTCAAAATTCTAGATTGAGGGATATTGCGCGGGCCCGCAGCCGGCATTGGGCCGCCATCAGGGAAAGAGGGTTTAAGGCGTCGCAGGGCGTGCAGTGGTTGGCTCCAATGGTGAACGGATATGAGATCGTGACAGCGGTCGTTGAGTGCCTGTTGCGAGGAGATCGGCTGCCACGTCTAATTACACTGCAGGGCCGCAAGGTCAGAGCACCGCCCATATAGTCTTCATCCCAACCAAAGACACAGCCGGCGTATGCCAATCCGAGAGCCGCTCTGCTCAGCGCTCCGGTCGGAACAGGAAAACCCGCGCCGGAGCCCAGTATAAGAGATCGTTTTTTGTTCTGGAACGATCAACTGGCCATCATTGCTGATCTTATAAATAATATGCTTACGTGCCGAAGGATTGGAAACAATCATGAGAAAGCATTCGAAGTCACGAACGATCGCATGAAAGAAGACGCCTAGAGAGAAAGAAGAAAGAGAAAGCAGATACATTCGCAAGAAAACGAGGGGACTACGTCGAGGAGAAAATGCCATGACATCTAGTCCAGTATGGCCGAGTACGGCCTTCGTCCCATTTCACAACTACTTACCGAGAACGGGACGAGAAGGCTCTGTCTATCGCAAGTCTGAGGGAGAGAGGGCGCAGAAAGTTGTAGAAAGCTGCGAATACGCGCTTCTGGAAGTGATGACACGGTGTCCCAGGCGGAGCGGCCAGCCTTGGTATTTGCGAAATTCTAAGATGCGCCATTCAATCAGTGCATCGCCTACCCTTTACACAATCGAGCAGATGCAGAGCCAGAACGGGCTTTGTCGATGACTTTGCAAAGACTAATGTTCAAATATGAGACGTACTCT